GTCGCAACCCACGTTCTGGGTTAGCTCCTGGACGCACATATCGCGCTGCCCTAGCAGATCCAACATGAACAGCCGGCTAGGGTGAGCCATTGCTTTGGCTACCTTGGCACGAGCCTCATACTGCTGAGGGGTTTTGGTAACGAGTTTGACTTGAGATCGATTCATGGCTTTATGGCAATATAGCCATATAGTTTTAGGTAGGCAACGGTGTTCATCGAATCTTCACAATCAGGTGGGCTAGTTCGGCAAGCGATGGGGATGGCCCCAAAAACGCACGAACGTGGCAGGAATGCTTCGATTCCGGTCAGACAGAGTCGGTTTCATAATTTCTGCCAGCAGAACCTCGGCGAGCAGGAATAATCCATTACGCTCGGACACACCACTAAGTTCGCTGATAGCTGCCAGCATGAAAATAAGCCGAATATGTCAAGTTTAACGGCTTTGCCGTCGATATCTAGAAAGAAAGGTATTCGATCGTCTCTCCCTGCGCGCCAACTGAACTCGACCGACCATGCCAGCATTCAACAGCGAAGTCCTGAACGACGTCAAAGCGGCCTGTGAAGCCACGGCCGTGGAAGCTGCCGACGCGTTTTCGCGTGCCTTCGACCAGAAGATCTTACTTTCCCTCGGCGACGGCAGTTCCTTTGAAGCAGACGCCGATCTCGCTGATTGGCAGTCAGCTGGTCTCGCGATTGTGCTCAACGTCGAATCCGAAGCCGCGTTGGTGCTTATTTCGGAAGAGAGCGGACTACTCCCCGATTGGTACACCGAACCCGATCCGACCGGCGAAAGCAAGCTGGCTACGCTCGGCCAGGAACTCGGCATGACCCTTCTGCCGGAAGAGTTCATGGCGATGGAGTTCCAAGTGCAAGCGGTCGAAAGTCTCGCCAATGCTTGCCGCAACGGTGCTCCCGGCGATGCCCCTGCCAAGCTCCGGCTTCAACTTGAAGTCGGCGGCAAATCGCGTGAGGCATTGATGGTTTGGCCGCTGACATCGCCCGGCAATGTGTTTGCCGCCGATGCCGCGGAACCAGAGCCGTCCGCTGCCGAACCTGCCGCTCCGGCAGCTTCCACGCCGCAAGCGACTTCATCGGCCGGCACTTCGCCAACATCTTCGCGCATTAACAACTTCAACGAGCTTCCCAGCTTCAGCCGCAGTCTTCTGCATATTGAAGTTCCGATTCGCGTGATCCTGGCCGCGAAGAAGATGAAAGTCAACGACATCGTCAACATGGGTGTCGGAACGATCATTCAGTTCGACAAATCATGCGAAGACACGCTCGACGTGGAGATCGGTCGCCAGAAGATCGCCGAAGGGGAAGCGGTCAAGATTGGTGACAAGTTCGGTGTCCGCGTTACCAGCATGACGATGCCGGAAGAACGGTACATTGCGCTCAAAGCTCGCAAGCGTGTTCGCTAGACGCGAGATATCAGCGCTAGCATTTAGTAGGCTTACTAATTCTTGAGGAAATTCTCCGCGAAGCCGGTGTGGCTGAGCGCGATAAAGCTAACGTTACACGTTCGGCGCAACCGATTCACATGAGAGTGAGTCGATGCGTCGTTAACGCGGAATGATGCTCGGCAATCGAGAATTTTGTCCGCGGGGATTACGTATGTTAGTCGTACTCAGCGATCTCCATCTAACCGATGACACCAGTTGCGAGACCCTGGAATCAGGGGCGTTTCGTATTTTCAGCGAACGCCTACAAGATCTAGCAGTGCGTGCTTCGTGGCGCAGCGACGGACAATACCGACCCATTCCGCAAATCGACCTCGTCTTGCTCGGCGACGTGTTCGATATCATGCGATCCTCTCGCTGGCTGATCGACGGCCCCAAGCCATGGCATGTGCCCGACAGCGAAGAATTCGCCCAACGTGTCGGCTCGATCGTATCGAGCATCCTCGCACGCAATTTGGAAACGGCGGCTATCTTCAAAGGACTCGCGTCGCGGCAAACGATTCGCGTTCCAGGCATGACCTCGGACGGCAAGCCAGCATTCGACGATGACTTGCAGCCGGTTCCTGTTCGCATTCATTACATGGTCGGCAACGCCGATTGGCCGCTTCATGTCCCTGGCGAAGCGATGAGTAAAGTGCGCGGCACAATCATCGAAGCCTTAGGCTTGAACAATGCCCCAGGTCTTCCTTTCGCACACGAACCTGTCGAAGACTCGCAGTTGCATGCCGCGCTTCGTCAGCATCGAATGTTCGCGCGGCACGGCGACGTGTTCGATAACCTCAGCTACGCCGGCCATCGAGA